CGTAGGACATTAGGAGTCTATAGGCCTTGGTGGGCTTGCATGTCCAAACATGGTTTTATGCTTCCACGAACAATACAGCTTAAATATAGACACAAGGCTTGTTTTCTAAAATCCTCTTTACCATACCAATGCCAGCTATCTGCGCATTTTTAGATCCAGTATTTGCAGATCTGCAGGGTGTTTAGAGGCTTGTTCACACAAATTGGTCTATTTATAACCAATTCACTGAGCCATTTGCCCTATAAATATTTCTGAATGTTCATTCTGTGCTAATAGACGCACGAAAGAAACAAATGTTTTTTTAAAAATTTCAGGTCGAATGTATGTAATGTAACCCTGTATTAGATAGATAGAGCTGATGAGTACAGAAAAAAATACTTATTTCCTATACTGTACTCCTTAGCATTTGTTTGCCTCTGTTTGCACAGCACATATGTGCAGAAAGATTCATAAGGCAAATGGCTCTGTGAATTGGTTACAAATTGACCCCAAGGTGTTACCATGTGCATAACACACTCACACTGGTATGTAATTTTCCAATGTGCTGTACAGCAAAGTGTTTCTTGCATGTATTGTAGTATGTGGGATTTGTGACTTCTATCTTTCCAATGTGCGATAATGTGCAACAAGTTGTGAAAAATGCAACATGTCCTATTTTTTTTTGAGCAGATAAAACAATAGCTGTCATAGAAGATAATAGAAATCTACCTAAATGGCCTTTTTACACATCTAAATCTGTAATCACATCAGGGGCGGACCCAGAATCTAGTCTCGGGAGGGGCACTGCCAGAAAATAACGTGTTGCTTACAGAACAGAATATTGCACTAATACGTACATTACATTGCAGTTCTTTGTTATGTATAACATCAATTGTACCTTTTTATTTTTGAGGCGTATGGTATTGGTGAGGAAGGGGCGTATGTTGGAGATGTTACGATGGTGAAGGCGACAGGATTTGGATAGTGCTATCACACAACAGCTCTAGAATGTGGTACCGTACACTAGGTACTTTGCATTGCCATTTATTTTAATGGCATCCCAACGCAGCTCCCAGTGACCATGCAATGCAGTGCATGGTACCACAGTACCAAGAGTTACTGCACAGTGAGGAAAAAAAAGGGTGCATGCCCTACACATGGGCATGTGGTTTTACTGCCCCCCTGGTTGCCTGCTGCAATGTCAGCACTGCGGCTGAATAGAGCAGCGTATATTGCCGTGCCTGCGATGATTTATGGTGCAGCAAAAAAAATACAGCATGTTGAATTTGGCAGGCAGTGCAACTTGTCAATCATGATCATTCCACGGTTATCTAACATTAACCATTATTATTCTTAATGGCACCCCAATGCACCTAGCCTTTGTATGTGCATTGTATCGCACCACATCGCCTGGTAACCTATTACCATGGCAAGTAGTGCAATTTGTGCAATTTGAGTTGCGATTTAACTTTGGTAGATACAGTGAATGAATGGGCTGCCCTACTGCAGTGCACCACAGCCCAGCCTGTAGCGCCTCTGCAATGTTCCATTAAAGATGTCTGAACGGGGACTCATTGCTCCACTTCATTTCCTGCACAGTGGGAAATATCATTGCGCATCCTAATAAAAATTGCTTGTTCTTGAAATGATTTTACCATTGTGTGGCACACTTTTGCAGAATTGTTTTTAAAATGTCGGTTTATTTGACACATTTATTTATGTATGTATGTATTTAAGTATGTACCTATGTATGTATGTATGTATGCCGTGAGCAGCATTGTATTAACCAGGAAATTGCCACAATGTATGTAAAACTAGAACAGTGCATTACACAATATGGCACAATGGCCAGTAATAAGCCAGGTCTGTTGCTAATGAAGACTTAGCAAGCGTGCTATTTAAAGATTAAAGGCATGCTCGTCTTGCTCTTTCTTGCAGCAGATCTCTTCGTATAGACTACAGCAGATGCTGCCAGTTATCCAAAACTACATTTCCCAGCATGCAACTAAACACTTCCTTCACCAGGAAGCAGTCACCCCCCCAGCAGTACATACAACAGTAGACTTGGGCAGAGGGAGGGAGTCAGGATCTTCCTGGATTCAAACACTTCACCAGTAACCTGGATTTGCACTGAATTAAACAATCTTGATTTGTGCTGGATTCGGTCATAAGGCTGTTCCTGAATTCCTGAGTCCCTCTTCTAGAGGTTAGGCAATAATGCATTATGGTAACTGTAGTCATCAGCCTGTTGATTGTAGTTTTGTATTCCTGTTTTATTTAATCATCTGTATGCAGAAATATAGCAGTTATTGTGACCCCCGAGTGCAGTTTACAGCTGGGGTTCCAGAGTCACAATCTGCAGTGATTCATATTGTTTATATTAGTTCCTGTCCTGTCAGTTTTGGATGACAAATGTATATTTACTGTATTTGGTGAGTGTTATCACATCGCTATAGGTATTTATTTGTTTTAATTATTGGCATTTCGTTTATTTAAAGGAGAACTATGAGGTCAGGGCTTTTCCCCATAGTTCTCCTTAGGGTAACGGGAGGACACAAACTAGCGTCCTCCCGTTACCCTAAGCTCAGTATACCGCGAGCTACAGCTCGCGGTATAATGAGACGCCGCAGCCGGGGCGGATCCCGACATCGATGTCGAGATCCGCCCAGCTGCGTGAGTGACAGCTGGCTCTGCCTATCTAGAGGCAGAGCCAGCTGTACCCGCCCCCTCCCTCGTCCGTTCCGCCAGTCAGCGCTGGCGGAGCGGGGAGGGGGGAATCGAGCCGTGACAGGATCGAGAGCTGAGCAAACGCCGGTATATGTTCGCTCACCTCCCGATCTACTCAGCCGACCTGTGACAGTCTCATGGTCACAGGTCGGCTAGAACTATGAGGTGAGTGAAAAGCATTCACCTCATAGTTCTCCTTTAAATACCTATAGCGCTGTGATAACACTCACCAATCACATATAATAATTTTTCTCATAGCAGCTTTAGGTCCACTTATTAATCTATTTTAGCAGTTTTCCAAGAGCGCAGATCTTTTTTACAACTATATTTACTGTATACCACTCAACATTATGCAATGGGAAATGGGCACCTTTTAGTACAAGGTATATTGGCAAAGAACATGTCCCTGCTCTGCACCCAGGTATGTGGGTGCAGAGCAGGAACCATGAAGAATAAAAACACAAAACATAATTGGGTAAACCCACATGCTCTTCTTCTTTTTACCGTTACTTTTTCATTAAAATTAAAAAATGCAATAATTTAGAGGTTGGATAAAACTTTTAGAGTAGTATAAAACTTTTGGTAAAGTATTTGTAAAGCCCAAAACATTTTTTTTAGTTATGAATAGAGTAAGGAATGGTTAAAATAAAAGCATAGACAAATTGAGCGGACGAATCCACCCAACAGAGACACAGACAACTATAAAACCATGACATCGTTTTTTACCCTTGCCAACCCTATCTAAAAACGGGTGTACTAAATTTGCAAGGGTAAACAGAGGATCTTGCTGGCTGGTTAGGTTGTCCATACACTGTACACATGTAACATTTGCGTAACATTTACAAGTGTACAACATTAATGAAGCTTATTAGTTGCTAGGACACAGGCAATAACTTAGTGTTAAGGAGACTAGGTGCCAAAAGCCACGTGTGTCCTAGCAACAAAAGGATGCTAGGTGGCTATAGCCACCTGTCTCCTAGCAACAGAAGGATGCTAGGCGGCAATAGACACCTGTATCCTAGCAACAGAAAGATGCTAGGCGGCAATAACCACCTGTGTCCTTGCAACAGGACGATCCTAGGTGGCTATAGCCACCTGTGTCCTAGCAACAGAAGAATGCTAGGTGGCAATAGCCATCTGTGTCCTAGTAACAAAAGGATGCTAGGTGGCTATAGCCACCTGTGCCCTAGCAACAGAAGAATGCAAGGCGGCAATAGCCACCTGTGTCTTAGTAACAAAAGGACACTAGGCGGCAATAGCTACCTGTGTCCTAGCAACAAAAGGATGCTAGGCGGCAATAGCCACCTGTATTCTAGCAACAGAAGGATGCTAGGCGGCAATAGCCACCTGTATCCTAGCAACAGAAAGATGCTAGGCGGCAATAGCCACCTGTGTCCTTGGAACAGGAGGATGCTAGGTGGTTATAGCCACCTGTGTCTAGCAACAGAAGGATGCTAGGCACCAATAGCCACCTGTATCCTAGCAACAGTAGGATGCTAAGCGGCAATAGCCACCTATGTCCTAGCAAAATGTTTATATGTGTACAGCCTAAAATAGGCATACGTAGGACCATGAACGCAGATTTTTCTGTTTTACAAGTTTGCAAATCTTAACAAAGCTGTGTGCATGGAGCCATAGCAGACCATAAACCTACATTAAAATCCGTAATTGTTCTTGTCATCATTTGCAATTTATCTGTCTGAAGCAGTGACAACTAAAATGCTTGTAAACGAAAAAATGTTGGCCATTACATACACATTAAATGTCTCTGTTAGAATCTGTCACAATTATCTGTTCAATTTGGTTGACATGGATGAGCAGCATGTGCAGTTAACCACTTCCTTCCATTGTGTTAGGTTATGCATGAGCACTCTAAGGATGGCCACATATATCCTAATCTTGTCCTGATTCAAGCCTTTCCTTGATGACTGGCCTTGTATTGGCCTGTGTAGGTCTTCCCTAGAAGGCAATGTTGGAAAATCTTTATTCACTCAAATTTCTACATGGAATGTATTTGAAAGAGTTTCTCTCCCCCTCTCTAGTGTGACAAGCTGAAAGTGTTCTCCCATGGTACGGACACTGTTTCAATGTAGATCTACAATGAGTAAACACTCTGTGCATATTGTAGAATCTCTCATTGACATTGCCCTGAGTGAATAGCTCATGGGACAACATAACACGTGTTATGTCCTGTCACTGATTTATCTTACTGAAAGTGGATTTCTAAGCTGCGTAATTTACCTGTCCAGTGAAATGTCTAAGCTGTGGTATCCTATGTTCTTTATTACAGGAAATAGGATTTGTTCTCCCTAAAAGGATTTGATAGTTATGGAGAAATCACACTCCAGTCACAGAAGAAGAGGAGGAAGAAACCAGGTAAATAAAGGAGTTGTAAAATATCTGACTCAACACTACCAGTGAGGCATGAATGATGGCAAAGGTACAAGAGGTAAATAAGAATGCCATCCTGAAGAGAACACATGGTCCATTGTGTTGGGTACAGGTTGCTTTTACATTGTATTAAATAGCATCTAATACAATGTAACAAGTAGAACGATATAATTAAGTTTCTATATAGACCCATGCTGAGGCTAAAGGTGTCTACAGACATTCATGATCCAACCACCAGATCTTGTACCATACATCTACCAAATGAATGATTGTGGCTTCTCTTGGGGTAGGAGGGTGGGGGACTACAATAGCAATCATCAAAATCCAGTCCGGCCTCTTTGATTTTGCCTATAGTTGGAGGTAATGTGCAATGTAATGTCTATGCACGTTACTGGTGATCCAATACACCTTCTAGAGGGGTACTGGACCAATGATAACATCCCAGTACCCACTTAAAACATCTGTACCTCATCTACATCAAGCCTCAGTACAAGACTTACATTTGTGTAGTGACGATGTGCGAAAATGTTGAAAGTCATAGCATCCAGTCAGATTTCAGTTTACTGCTGTCAGATCAGTAAGTTATACATTTAGATTGCTACGATTTACTTACATTGAATACATTCACTATCTTTGCAGTGTCTTATAAAATATGTACACCATATAGCAGCTAGGACCTAATGCAGTTATTAGTAATCTTTGTCACTTGTTCTCCTTGTTAGAGATCCATGTAGTTGACACTCGACAAAAATGATTTTTGTGTGAACATTGTAATTTAGATATAACTACCAATCTTTCTCTCCCTGGCAGGATCCAGACGTGCGTTTATCAAAGCTTTTATCCTATGCATTGCGTCATGGAGCTGTCTCCATAGGTTTGGACATGGCACCAGGTAGGTGGTGCTGGCTATGGCCTGAATTTTGGAGAACAGGAAGATGCTTGAGCTATTTTAAAGGGGTTCTAAACCCTCCGGTTTTTTTTGCTTATATCTACTGCTAGCAAGCAGTAGATATAGGCAAGAAGTGTAAAAAAAAAAAAAAAACCGCTTGAAATCATTTTAAACTTACCTCGTTATCGCTGCTCACTCCAGCGCCGAGAATCAGGAACTGCTCGTACAGCCGCAAAGGATCTTGGGGAGGGCGCATGCGCAGTTCCGATTCTCGGCCAGGAGACGAGCAGAGACGCAAGGTAAGTCTATGGACGCGTGCACCCGCATGCAGACACCGCTGGATCGGAGGGACAGAGCAGTCAGCGCTGGATCGGAGTGACGTCGCACCGCTGGAGGGACACATGAAAACATGGGGAAAGAAGAGGAAGACCAGAAAAAGTGACATCATTTAAGGTAAGTGCTAACATTTACATGGGGGGGAGGGGAAAAAAATGTGCCTTTAATATCACTTTAAGTGCAGTAAAATCTTTCCTGTAAAAGGAAATCCGCTTCTGCCACAAAGCAAGACCCCTGTGTTAGTAACCATTCATGGGAGCAGCCAATCCCTGAATCATATGCCATATAGCAGCTATGGCGTAGTGAAACTAAATCTATTCATTAAGTTTCTGAATCACAGGAGCTGGGGGGTGGCTGCTTCCAGCAACTCCTGATCAGGGGTTTTGTGATAGATTCTTTTTATATCCTTTAAAATATATCCTGTGTCGAAAAACAAGATGTATCAGTATGGCATAGGAAGCAGCTATCCCTTTACTAGAAAGCGGTTGCATTGTAGCAGGAAGTATACAGTAACGCAAGCCATAGTAATATCACTTGGTCCTCTTAAATAGATAGACTGGATTCTGGTAGCACTAGCAGAGTGTAAGGTAGATGGCTACACTCTGTGTCACATACATTATTACCCCTACATGCTGCTGGACACCTTCCAAAGTGGGTATGCAAATAATGACTTTAGGATGGTGACTACTTGCATAGCTGAAGGCATGGAAGTAGACAGCATGAATAGTCCCATGTGTCATAAGCAGGGGTGTGCTCTTCATTGCGCTGCAGAGGTGAATGTTAAGGTAGGAGGATTGGTATATGCTGATCTGTTAGTTTTATCATTTTTAGTTTTCTCAAAGATTTGCCTTAACCCCTTCATGACTGAGGCCCTTTTTTCATTTTTTGCACCCATGTTATATTCCACATTTTAGGCCTGAAAATGACTTAAAACCCCCCAACATTATATATTTTCTGAATGCCAAGACCCTATAGAATAAAATGGTGGTAGTTGCAAATTTTTATGTTGCGCAATATTATCGCAACTCCTTATTAAACCCCAACATTTAGTGAACTTGTCACTAGGCTATGCATGTATTTATGCGTTCTTGACAAGCAGATTTACATCAAGACGTCACTGTAGCTGCAGGCACTGTGGAGCAATTCATCCACAAAGTTCAAAGCATAAGAACTGTAGTAATTCAAGCAGTTTTTTCAGCAGCTCCACTTACTTTGCTCCTTCCGGAGCTCCTGCTCCTTGTTTACATTGAGAATAGAACGCTGGAACGCTGTGGAGTCACTTCTGGGAGGGGACAGGTGATCTGGCTTACAAAAGATCTTCAATTTTTTTGTTGTGAAAATTGAGGATGAATTGCACCACAGTGACTGCATTTACAGAGATCAGTGAGGGCTTGTTTTAAAGCTCATTCACTGCGTGTTCATAATATATAATTGATTGTGCATTGCCTGGCCATTGCTTCACTTTAAAGTAGATCCCCTATACAGTTTATATAAAAAATTTACAAAGTTAGGAAGGGTTTTGAATTGCTGTATGCATCCCTTATAGGGAGATTTCTCCCCACTCATTGTCATGTTGACATAACTGGAAGTAAAGAAATTGCACAACAAAACCTGACAGAGTTTCTAGCACTTGCCCACTCTAGTAATATAAGTGTTTTTATTGCTGTGTCCCTATTAGAATAATTCTATTTACTTCCTGTACTGGAGACACAATAGGAAGTGACAGCAAATCTCCCTTCTCTATTCAAAAGAAAAAAATATGTTTTTATTTTGTTGATCCACTTTAACTGTTTCTGTAGTTTAAATTCTAAACCTTATTTTACTCATTAAATTTAAAGGGGTAAAAAAAGTTAGAAAATGATCTCAAATGTCTATTTACACATGTGTATGATTGTAGCATTCTTGGAAATACACACTAATGTCATTGTATTGCAAATGTATTAATACATTATTATTATTATTATTATTATTTTTTTTTTTTTTTTCCTCCTTCTTTACACTTTTCCTAACACTTGTGCTCCAATTGCCTCTCATTGTTCAATATACACATAAACCTCTTTTCATCACTAATACCTGTAACTCCATTCTCTCCTTGTCGGTCTTGGCTTGCCGTTGTTTGGCGACCCAATGATGTCTCCCGATAGATGGCTTTGTCCCTGTCTCCTCTCTCCTTTCCCTTCCTCAGTTCCGTTCCTTTTCTCTCAATGACATTGAACGTGTAGTTAGATCCAATGACAAGCAGAGATTCATGCTGAGGAGCTCTGAACCAGAAGGAAAGCTGGAAATTCGAGCAAACCAGGGACACTCTTTACAGGTATTGGTGAATAATGCTGCCTTTAGATATCAGCTAAAGGGACTGTCCATGAAAAAGTGATATTTTAGTTAGTTTTAGTGGAGGTTGGTAGGATGATTCTGACCCTAGGTTATTATATGGCTTGTATTCTCCTATAGTATTGTAGTTGTGTATTCCTTTAATATATATTTATACAGGGCTGTCCCAATAATGAGGCAGCCTAAAGCTGTGGCCTCAGGTGGCATCTCTTTGTGTCATGTGGAGGAGCCCCTTTTCTGTCCAAAGTGTCCCAGGTTGCTAAGAGCCGGGCAGGAGGATGTGTAAGGGCCAAACAGCTCCTGGCAACCAGTGCCAATGAGGTTCTACTTCATGCACATTTGCTTACAGGGAGCATGTAGATAGGGGGAGAAATCACAATGAATCAGGAGATACAGATGGGGAGGTGACATCACTGTATTGTAAAGGTGGCTGGATAGAGTATTGGACATACAACATCAAAAAAACTACTGTCATCCAATATTTGCTTGTATATACATTGTCATTGATGGTTGTGAATAAAATAATAATAATAATTTAAAATTAACATATAAAGTACATGCATATATGATAACTACTGTATGTGCCTTTTTATAGGTGGAGGTGGATCTCACCCCACTGGGAACAGAGCTTCCTGCACAAGCCATACATGGGACTTATCTCCGTCACTGGCCATCAATTCTTCATCGTGGACTCTCTTGTATGAGTCGGACACACATTCACCTGTCCATTGAGCTCCCAGGAGAAGGTGACAGTGTCATCAGTGGTGAGTGATATTTGACAGCAGCTGTTTTTATTAGTATAAACCACCCATAGACCTATAAGAGTGGCCATACATGCATGCACGATCCAGCTGCCTTTTAGGCACAAAATGTAGCTAGCGGCTACATGAACAGCAGCGTTCTGCTTGACAGAATGTTCTTCTGTGTGTGAACAGAGGGGAGGGTGGTGGAGAGGAGCGACTATGGCAGACCCTGCCAAAACATCTTTCCTCATAGGGGAACGTTGGCCAACAGGCCGTAGTTTCTAACCTGCCAATCAATGTCTCCTGTAATAGCGCTGAGCTAAGCAGGGTCAGGTACTCCCCATAGACATGATATTGTTGTCATCTCATGTCTATGGCTGCCTGTAATGCAATTAAAATAAGTAATGCAATTAAATAAGTAGTTCCCAATAACCAATTAACATTAAAAATGTTAATTGGTTATTGGGAACTACTTCATGTCATATTAGTGTGACAAACATTGAATACTTGTTGTTATTCAGAGTCGCTTGTGTTACCATTGCAGTAAAAGGCATACTACCACAATGCATAGGCCTAAAGGGGAACTATACATTCAAATAACTTTATCCCTTTAACCCCTTCCTATGCTAACAAAACCCCCTGCACTTACCTTGGATCAGTGGGTGATATGGTCCAGCAGCCTACACTATATTGGATGGTGCTCAATCAGAGAATCCTCCCTGCAGACTTACCAGTAGATAGATTTTGCATTTGAACATATGAACCCAGAACCCCTGGCAGTCTGCACCCTGACATTGCATCTACTTGCCACCTAGGACCTGTAACACTGCACCCCTTGCCCCCTTGACGTTAAATTTCCCTGTCTGCTAGCACCCCAGACATTGATCCCTAACATCCCAGACACTGCGCCTTTCTGCCAGCTAGAAACTCTGCCAATGCATACTCCACTGCCGCTCCTCTGTTCTCCCGTGTCACCTTTGCAGGAACATGCAGAGAGGAGGAGCGGCTGAGCCTGGCGTTTCTATGCACTCTGCCCACTTCCTCCTCCCTTTGGTATCATCTCCTCCTTCCCAGTGCATCCTCTAATAAATTGTTGTTTATATGTGATATATTTATGTGACACTATTTTTTGTATTATTAAATTATTTTTTTGTTATAAATTTTGTCTACGTTAACTTTTTCCAAAGTTCTATCATTCAAAGTCCCCTTTTCTATATATTATTTATTTGTATTTTTTTTCTACAAATGTTTTTTTATATTTAATTTGGGGATGGTAGTACTCCATGGATTTCGATATTTGTATTCTTCTTTTACAATACGTATAGGGTAGGACTAATGTAGCATGTTATGAACAAGACCTGGTTAAAGTGACATTAAACCCTCAGATTTTTTAACATAAACCAATACTGTAATGTGTGCCTTACTGTAATCCATGGTTGTTTCCCTTCTCTTTGCTGCTCTTCCTTTTAAATCCTCATGTCTTCTCATGCTTGGGGAGAACTTCCCTTTGCAGCTGACTGCCTCTTCCTGTAGTGCTGGCTCAGGTTGCAAACCTGCACACAGACACCATGTATCCATTCCAGAGACAAGGCAGTCTGCTGCAAAACAGAAGTTCTGCGCAGCATGAGAAGAGATACAGATTTAAAAGGAAGAGCAGCTAAGAGAAGGAAAACAACCATGGATTACAGTAAGGCGCACATTACAGTATTGTTTTATGTTAAAAAATCTGAGGGTTTAATGTCACTTTAACTGTGAATTATTCCTTATAAATAGGATGCACCGACACCAAGTACAGTACTCGGTACAAGTATAAGTACCGATTCTTTTCCAGCTCTAAGACTACACTAGAGCAAAATTCAAAAGTTAGGAGTCAGCTGTCATTTGTAAGGAGCACACGGAGCTCCTGGGATTTGTACATCTCTTTTAATGTATGATTTTGTTTTTATAAATATAAATAAAGGGATGCACCAATACCATTTTTGCGAGTACAAGTACTGATACATTTTTGTTTATTGTCATGTGACAGTTTTAATAAAACAATATCGACTAATGATTTCAGGACAGTGGTGGAGTGCCAGAGCCAGGTCCCCGCTGCAACTGGTAGTTCTCTAAATATCACCAATGGTCCAGAACTAGTGCTTTTGCTCCCACTATATCTGTAAAAAATAAGTCAAGGCAACTGTACTTCCTGTATTTTTCTTGAAGACATTTCACTGGTCATCCAACCAGCTTTCTGAATTGAGAAAGCTGGTTGGATGACTAGTGAAACGTCTTCAAGAAAAATACAGCAAGTCCAGTTGCCTTGTCTTATTTTTTACAGATATACCATGACCTGGATGAATGAGAACCTTCACAGACATTTTAATCCCACTGTTTGGTTGTGGTTGGTCTTTACCAGTGCTACTAGTGAACCTTGGTGCTCATCTGAGACTCCCATTTATATTCATTTATTAGGGTTAAATGACATCACTAACACACCAGGATAAGGATCCTAGCTTTATAAAAATGTGACCGGTATTTTTAGAGTACAATAACATTTAGAAATTAGTCACATGGCTAAAAATAAAGATTCTTATCCTCCAATTAAAACTTTGTGAATTGAACTGAACTATTTATTGGCCCTGAATCTTTGTGTATTCCGAGTGCCATTGAGGGGAATACAGCTATAAGTATCACACAGCATAGGTGGAGGAACGTTGGTCTCTATGTGCCAGCTATTCTGGTCACTGAGAGACACTCCAGAAAGTGACACCGTGGAAGTGGCGTCTGGTATTTCTCATTGTTGGGCATTTACTGGTTCATTATAATAGTATGTCGTGAGAGTTGTAAATGGATTTAACAGTCACTATGTGTCTCTGCAGGAATGCGTAGGGACTGTGAAGTAGCAATATTTATAGACCTTCCAAAGGCAATAGCGGGTGAGTCTGCTTCTTCTCCTCTCACACAAGAACTGTTTTCCTTCATACACTCAGCTGCAAAGCTTTTCAGACATTGAACATACAGCCTAAGACTGGCAATACACTCAGCAAATATACGCTTGATTTCCCCCATCCCCGCTAAACAGCATGGATAGGGGGATATCTCTTCTCACAGCTGGAACCCGCTGCTGCCAGAATACCTGAACAGTGGCTGCAGTGAAAAATCAACTTTTGGTGGAAGGAGTGATAGTGGCAGGACCCCTCAACAGGACAGACCAAAATTCAAGCAGTGTATGGCCAGCTTAAGTAATCTGGAAATGAGCAAGTTATTGATGGTACTAGTACCTGGGACAGAAAATGTGCTGATATGATTTTGGCTTCTCCAGAGGATTTCCTAAAGCTGGCCATACACCTAGAGATTATCTGCAGATTTTCTGTGGTCAGATGGAAAAAGTGCCACAGATTCCTCCATCTACGCTAAAATGTGTGAATGGAGGAATCTCCCACTGGGCAAAGCTTCAGTATTTGACAGCCAGTGGAGCCGACTAGCAAGATACTGAAGCTTGGCCCAGTGGGAGATTGCTCCATCCACACAGTTTAGAGTAGATGGAGGAATCTGTTGCACTTTTTCTATCTGACCATAGAAAATGTGCAAATAATCTCTAGGTGTATGGCCAGCTACTGTGACCTTGTCACTATACAAACATTACTGGGAAAAAAACCATACCAGAACCTGACAGAGGTGCTTCTAAAAAGTGTATTCGTTGCCGTCTGTGTGAACTTTCTATCACTTCCTGTCGCAGGCAAAGCCAATCACCACAACTGGAAGTGAGAAGAAACTTCCTCAGTAAGGACCCAATAAAAACCTGACAGAGGTTCTAATATATCCTTAAACTAAAACAAACATTTTAGGCATCCTTCCTTAATATTTAGATTCATGAATAGTTCCGTTTAAAGTAATTGCTTTAGTCTCCATTCACACCGCAGCATATCGGGAACGCGCATCAAACATGCACAAAACACGCTTGAGGTGCCATTACAAGTTAATGGTACCCCAAATGCGGCCAAGCAAATGTTCTTTTCTCCACTCGTGGAACGCATGTAGCAGAATTTGTTACATGCACTACTTTCCCGTGTTTGACGCATGTCCAGGAACCCACTCAAATCAACGAGGATGCGCACGAAACGTGGGAAACAAGCGCCTGTGAACGCGCTTCACTGCATCGCTATTGTTTGAATGGGCTCTAAGAGCCCATTCACACCACATCCAGATCATCTCCAGACCAGACCAGATTGTTTCCGGACCCACAATGCATCCTAATGTATCCCCATGCTATTTCTGGCCTCTGTTCACACCAGCGAAGTCCGTTCCAGACCAGAAAAATACTGCATGTCTCAATTTTTCTGGTCTGGAATGCACTGGAACGCATTAAAAACGCATGGAACGCACTAGCACCTAAGAGCCCATTTTAAGCTAAAAACCCCCAGCTCCGGAAAAATTGCAAGATCACGGTAAACTGGCGGCAAAAACACGATGGACTGCATTCCAGATCTGGTCCAGGAAATGGTGTGAACCCAGCCTTAAGCTGATCTCTAGGCAAACAGCTAAACACTTGAAATACATATATAAGACCTGTTCTATCTGATCAATTATTTCTATCTCTGCCTATTCAGTCCTGAAATTGACACAGCACTCCCACATAGCACAATCCTGTCTGTCGGGGCAGGAGACCCGAAACTTCTCTTTTCTGATTCAGTACCACTTACTGGTCTTATCTCTTCCCCAGTCTGGAAACGAGAATCAACACACTGATGAGCTCATCTTTCTGGCACTCTGCTCCCTCCTCCTATTAGCATGCCTATTGTTAGCACACAAGCACTGCAACACACCTGATTGGCTCCTTGTGCTACTTCTCCCTTGCCTAGTCTGAGCTCTGTTGTATAGGAACTGCAGGAGGCTGATACCAGGTCGAATTCAGGTACTTACACTACTTGCATTAAAAAAAAGCCCCATACATTGAATGAGAGCTGTATACAGTGTATTTGTGTTTTTATATCTGCCTGCAGTTCTGGTTTACAGTAAATCTTTGCTAAGAGAAATATAGGGATTGCCATTTTTGATAACTATCTGAAAATGTTAGTTGCCTAGCTGCCACGAGGACCTTGTGGCTTCTGAGTCGCTGGCAAGGACTAAGTATGAAGATAAGGAAGGTCAGAGTAAAGTCAGATATCTTTATCATAGTTATTCTGTTTCTGTGACTCAAAGATTTGAAGCCAGGGGGTCAGCATGATAGCCAGGCAGATAGCATTTTCAAAGCAAACAGCAGTAATAGCTTCCATGTTTCTCTCAGGGAAGGTTTCCTATAATGTAGTCATGTGACATGAAATATCGAGGATTGCTGAGAGTTCATTTTAGGCCGTAGTGGGAGATGAGTAACGGAGACAAGCCTTTTCTACATAAACATCTTCCTTCTGTTTTCAGATCAGATCCCGTTCTTTTGGTCCGCAAACCACGTCCTGCTTACACCTGGTAATGAAGATGGTGTACTTCTCCCCAAATATTTTCTAAAGGCCCTCCAGCTCAGACCTCAGAGTAAGTATCTTGGATTCGTAAAAGGTTGCCACTGATGAATTTTAATTCCGCAAATGCTAGTTGACTGGCTGGCATGCTGACGCAGTGGCTGAAATACGTTATGAATGACTAATCTGGGACAAGTAAGCAGATCCAAAGTTGTGACTTCATTGGCTGTTCTGACCAAGGACTTCAAAACTTTTATTCATTAAGCCTCATTCACACAAGAAAAAGCCGTGCACGCAGCATGGAGCTGTACGTTCCGGCCTTTTCTCGTGTGAATGAGGCCTTACTGGTGTTTATATAGCGCCGACAATTTACGCAGCGCTTTACATAGTTGCACATTCACATCAGTCCCTGCCCTCAAGGAGCCTACAATCTAAGGTCCCTATATCACATGCATACATATGAACGCCAATTTAGACACGAGCCAATTAACCTACCAGCATGTCTTTGGTGTGTGGGAGGAAACTGGAGTACCCAGAGGAAATCCACACAAGCACAGGGAGCACATGCAAACTCCATGCAGAGAGTGTCCTGACCAGGATTTAAACAGGGGACCCCCAGTGCTGCACGGCAGAAGTGCTAAACACTATACCACTGTGCCACCGATTATCCAGTAGATCAGCATAATGGCAGTAAGCATATTTAGGATGAGATTCAGCTACAGCAGGCTCTGCATTTCTCTTAGAGCAGTTTCCTGATTGTTCATGCCATGTCAGCTGACTTGGGTTTTTCTACACACCACCACACATATTTGTGTTCTATGTGCTCTGTTCACACTAACGTATGCGCGTGCCAAAAAATGCAGTTCAACGGATATGATGTGCACAAGCCCTAAATAATAAGATAACTTTTTGTAAACAGATTATTTTGTTGTTTATAGCGATTTCAAGCAGTCATCCGAATATCTAATCAGACTACAGTTTCATCCCCATAGCAGTAGGCATCCCTCTATTTATGCAACAGGGACACCTACTGGTGTATTGTAGGTATGACATTTTGCTACTGGAATATACTGTACCAGCAGTCCTGTCCATGGAGACTGCAGGATTGTTGCTAATGTTCTGCCTCCTACTTTTAAGGGCACATTTACTTTTAAAAATAGAGCATGATTGGGGGTGATGCCTATAATAGCCAATCAGGTTTCATCAGAATGGCAGAAAGTCAATGTTTTAAAAAATGTGTTTTTACAAACTAGATGGACGTGTTTTTGTAATCTTTCACAAGACACTAAGACTGGGTTCACACCTAGGCGTACTGTAGGCACGTTTTTAGCGCGTTTTTTAGTTCAGTGAAATGCTCATTTTCATACCTCCCTGGCGCTAAAATACGCCCAGGTGGGAACCATGCCCATAGGAAATTATGGGATTTCACTTGCTGAGTGTTTTTCAGTGCTTCGATCAGCGCTGAAAAATGCCCAGGTGTGAACCCAGCCTTAGGCTTCGTTAACACGGGGCGTTCTGGCATTCCTGTGGCAGGAACATACGGATTCACTGTCCCTGGATGCATCTATACTGCATCCAGCAACAATCATCTATCCCAAACCTCATGTAATCATATACGATTACATGTGGACTGCCGCTTACAGATGCAGCCATCGTCACACGTCATCCATGGTCATTAATGTGAACAGGTACAGTGGCCGCATCTTACCAGGGACACCTGGGATTCCAGCTGCAGGAATCCCAAATTGCCCTGTGTGAATAGGCCCTAATAGGTGTGGTGACACTGGTGAAAGTTGGAATAAAGGTATGCTATATACATGACCTTTTTTTTTTTATACACACGGAATCAACCATGTTGTGAGTGCATTCAGTATTTCCAAACATGCAATATTCTTTTACCGTGGACACTTGTAATACACTTAATAAATGGATAGTCATCTATCGCCAACTGAACAAATACATTGTGAAGGATCTTGATGGATCCATTAATGTTAGTGTTGTAACACTTTCAGTCTCTCCTAAATGTTTTTTGAAAATTAGTAAACTATAGCAGTAGAAACAGAGTCTATCAACTGTGATGTGAACTTATACGTAAGTGAAATGATACTTGATTGTTAAAGCTGAACTCCGGGATAAGTAAATATTGACTAAATACAAGAGTCATGTGTACTCTTATCTGAATCTTGGTACGATTCGTGTATTTCTTCCAGATCTGTGGAGTAATCCAGTGTGAAACTTTGCCTCTGTGCAGGAGCTTCCTGTTATAAAGACCAGTAGCTGCCACTCTCTCTTCCTGGGCAGGATGACTGGTTTTGTATATGCCCACTCCTGTAGTTTCCTGCGGGTAGCCTGTAGTGGGTGGAGATGCTGGGCCCCTCTGATGGCTCTGCTCCCTGCACAGGGATGGATTTGTATATTTTTTTGTAATTATTGAGTAGTATAATAAATGAAAGTTTTTGTGGCCAAAGTTCAGCTTTAATCTATGCTGTGATGAGTGCATAGAAAAAGAGGGGGGTTGTTATGAAGAAGCTGGTGCTCCTCATTTCCTCTAGTGCTAACCACATGAGTGTCATTTGATCTCTGATAGTGAGGAGGATCAGCCAATATGAACTCCGATCCACCCCTTCAGCAGGGATCACATGACTAAGAGCCTAGGCATTTTGACATGTGGCTTATACCAGAAGGAATCTGGAACACCATTTTCTCCAGGAAAGGTAAGAATTCAGCCCTTTTTTTTGGTTTTGGTTTTGGTTTACTATTTACCCATCCCAGCAAGACTGTTACCATTTCAGTATAGGTCACATGGTCACATTTCAATGATTATTAGAGCTTTTTTTAAAATAATTTCTTGATCAAACTCTATTTGTTCTTTCACAGGAAAGCTACTCCCGCTTGAATGACAGAAAATCTCCTTTGCCAAATAAATTATTGTCGGAACCTTTTTTGTATATTTGCTCCTAATTAATGAACACGAACTTAATGATAATCCACTAAAATAAGTGTTAGAATGAAAACACATTGATTTGCCTTGAGTACTGAATGAACTTTGCCCATTTTTATTCCTTAGGGCTAGAGAGAGAGATTCATTAAGCAATTATATATGTATTGTCTGCACTGTATTAGCAGTATATACTCTATATAGAGTATATACTGCTAATACAGTGCAGACAATACATTTACAATTATACTAACATGACTGTATTAAATGATCTGTATGTAGCCCTGTACTATGGATCATTTAACCCATTCATGTTAGCAGAGGATCATTGTAAATGTATTGTTGCAGGCACTCTATATGTACATGTACTATATACTACATATAGAGTGCACTGAACAATAGATTTACAATTATCCTCTGCTAATATGAATGGGTTAAATGATCCGTAGTACATGATATGTAGCCCTGTACCCCCTTTTCCACTTACAGAGCTAGGTTATTTTTCTTTTAAATAAATATTAATGTCATTTTATTGGTATCTATCTACCAGTAGCTGCCTCATTTCCCACCCTCGGCTTATATTCGAGTCAATACTTTTTCCCAGTTTTTTTTGCTAAAATTAGGTACCTCGGCTTATATTCGGGACGGCTTATACTCGAGTATATACGGTAGTTCACAAGCAAACAAATGTTGGGAACTCTTTTATAGAATGAATGTGCCCTAATTTTATAGAACTACAGTACTTGTTGACTACAGTTATTTTCAAAATGCCTGCCATCTGTTAGCCATAAAAAGGTTACTAGCACAATTCCTGAGGGAATAAGTAATGTGTAAGCCACCCAGTTCCAGGAATTGGACACTTGTATTCCTCCTAGTAGATGGGGGAGGAATTATAGCGTTATTACTCCCTTAGTCTTATATCATTCTATCACAGAGCTATAGTATGAATATATGAATGCCTCATGGAAGATAAACTGAAAAAGGCTCATCCACACATTAGATCATGGCTCAGAATCAAACAACACTTTAAAGTAAACCTTTTTTGACATAAATGTGGCAGTTGCCATTGCTGAAAAATGATAGTTTTTTTTGTCTGACGGACTGATAGCTATACTTTCCTAAGTCATCCTTCAAGACAGTTTTCTTGAGAGATGGCTCTGTCCACCTGCAGGAAATGCAGGACCTAGAGAGTTTAAAAGCCCCCCAGTGACTCCCAGCCCTCAGTTCTTGTATCCCTGCATACAAACCTATACTCGTCTATATTTTTTATGTTTTCCCATGTGGTGTTTTTGGAGTTTGAAGAGTCCGCTCTGCTAACCTAACCATGTGAGTAGGCCCATGGCATTTGCAGGTTGAAGACAGAGGGGCATGGGATGGGTGTCTGGTGATGAGTAGCACAGCACTACACCCTTCATCCCCTTATCCAGCAACTTTAAGGGCTCTCCATAACCTCCCTTATAAACTGCAGCTAATCTCCGTGTAGTGTGGTCCCAACTCCAGTCTATGAGAGCCTCCATCTTGGAGTATATATAGCAAAGGATGAATTGGGTGCAGGTTCACCAGGAGGCAGCCCAATCTTCCTTAAAAGCACAACGACACACCAGAAGCCCCACACATCACAATGGCAGCTGAAGCCCCCAGTGTGTCCTCACACCAAATCGTACTGAGTGTAGATGGATGTGTAGATGGATGAGGAAAAGTGAATTTAAACAACTGTAGTATCAGGCTGCAACAAAACCAAACTGAAAAAAGTGATGGGGGTAGGAATACTTTCTGAATTCACTGTAATATTTATGTATATACCCCAATAGATGAACTATTGCAGTTTTCATCATATACATGACATTCAATCATCATGAGGCCCTAGCAGAAGGCTTGTTAGTAGTACTCTCTTGGGGTGTGTCTCAGGCCCATATGTTACATTCTTGTACTTTACAGCTTTTGTACTGTTTATTATACTCTTACCTTGTATCCTTGGTATCAAAGTATAGTCAGTGGCTACATGCATGATTTACAGTAGATATGGCTCATATGTGCTACATGTTTTTGGATCTAGACTTTAAGCTGTATCACTAATAATGTCCTATGGTTGTAACTTAGGAAAGGTTTCTGTATTAATGATGGTAGTACTTCAGTGTACTCATGTAGAATTCTCATACATCATTTTTTTTCTGTGTGGAGTGTTGCCATAGTATTGGCTTCATCCATCCAGTCAATTATTGTCCATAATTAACCGCCCTAGCCTTATACATTGCATGCTTGGGCAGTTGCTTTGGTACATTAGATACAGCCTAAGCTGCCTCAAAATGGTGACCTAGTTATTATTAGCCTTGCAACAGGGGAACCCTGGGTTCAGTCCCCACTAGATTTACAATTTGCATGAGCAGACGCTTCATTTATGATGTTACGCAGTATATGAAGTTTTGTACAGGTAGCCCTCAATTTATGCCGTTGTTAAAGGAAGGTTGTAAATAGAAACCAATGTGAATTGAAACCCAGTGTATAATGTAAGTCAATGGGCTGTCAGGCCTGTCTCAAAAATGACATAAGTGACATTGTATTTAAAGCTTTGAAATAAATGTTCTGAATGCTGAACAGTATTATACACAGTATAAAATAACCACGCCACACAGTATGTATCATAAACTAAGTTTATGATGAAACAAAGAAGAGAGAAAAGAGCGACAGCCACTGAAAAACCTCCATATCTCTAAGGGTACCACTGTGCCATGTCTCTATGTTCCTATTTACAGTATCACTTTGTCTAGCCCTGTGCCACCAGTGCATCTCCAAGTGTGCCCCCAGCACAGCTCTAAGCACATTTATATCTTCAAGTGTACCTCTGTGTGCCTCCAAGTCTGTAAATGTCCAGAGTTATCTCACTGAGAAGAGTCTTCCTGAGCCTTTGTAGACTCTGTACTGTAGCCACGTGGAGTTGCAGAGAAGTCCCCTGCATATCTTTCCATGGCCTGCTGAGGAAGCATATGCTAGACGGCACCGACTCTGTAGTGGTTTCCATGGCGGTCACGTGACCACCTGAAAAAAGGGCTATTTTGAAGCGGCGCAAATGGACACAGTGCAAATCGAGGATTACCTGTATAGTTTCTTACATGGGGTATCAATATAGGTTTTACATGACTTCTGACTTCATATATAAATTCAGGTTGTTTGATGTTATATAATTTATCACATTATTTGGAATGATAGATCTGTTGTGGTTACATAGAACATTTCTATGTATTGAAGGAAGGAATCTGTGGCATCAGCGATCAGTTATAGTCAAGCCATCATGCATTACACTTTGTGTCATTATATAACATATGGTTTCATAAAGCTAATACCTGTCACTGGTGGTAGTCACTTCATTACATGTAACATGGTGGTTGGTTCCAGTGGGAATGAAGCTTTGGTAAGAACAGCGCTATAGTCACTTGTCCCACCCTAGGGATACATCTTGCTAATCTCTCAAGTAAACGGTACTGGAGGATAACTTGTGCTGATCTCCTGCTGATTAGATTTGAAGGCGCCCGTGTGAATGGGGCCTTATGTTTTTGAAGCCCATGTGGTCAAGACAGGGCAAGCAATATATCAAACAAAGAAGAAACCATTGTAGTTTAGCTATGCTCAGTATAACCCATATTATTCAGCTTTGCAGAGCACTTCAGAACTTGACTTAAACATAGTGTCAAACCTCCACCTGGCATTGGCCCCATCACTAAAACTGTTTATATTGATTGACAAGTAAATCTTCACATTTCCAAGCAAACTTTACTATTGCTGGGCAGGAAATAAATGTCAGAAAGCTTGCATTGATTCATTTTACAGAGGGAATGGTTACCTTAGGAAATGTTTATTCCACTGTGTATCCTCATGATGGGGCTTTATTTATTATGCATGACTCTGGAGACAAACTATTATGTTTGCACCTTGTTTACAATTGTTTCAGATCCATTACAATCTCCAGTTGTCAAAGTGTTATTTGCAGAGTCATTCTTTAATAATGTATAACAAAGTTGTACACTTCAACCAACAGTGAAAGCATAGTGTAAATTACATAATGGTGACGTACATGTACAGCGTATATTATATAGTTATGTAAGTAGCACTGGTATAAAGTTATGTATGGAAATGCGATGCTGTATATGGATAGTTTGGAAGATTGTAGACTGGGAAATCCTTCATTGACTTTGTACAGTAGAAAGGAGGTAGAAGGGCTGTGCATAGGTCATCTTCCTTGTTTTATAAGGTGAGTGAAATTACTGACACAACTTCTCCTACACAACATCATACTGTAGCCATAAACATTTTATGGAGTTCTTATTTCATTTATCTACCATGTCTGCCTTGCAGCCACCCCCCAATGTTTGCTGTGTTTTCTTCAGTCTTCAGTTTTTCAGTCTTTGCCACTTCATTCTAATGGTTGGTTCATACCATAGTGTTGCTAGAAATGTGATGGATCTGTACATTTTGTGGTATTTACGTTGTGTTGCTATTCTTTCTGGATGGCACCCCAACATATCTCCAGGTGAGCATGCATTTGCAGTGCAACACATGGTACCACAATAACATGCTTTGGCATGCAAGAAGTGCATGCATTACTTTTTTCATCGCATGGCAACACAATGCCATGCGGCAGTATTGCGGTACTGCAAGCTTGACCGCCTGCTGGGAGGTGTGTTGGGATGCCATGGAGAATATATCATAGCACACCAGCTGATGTTTAGCGCAACGCTATTGTCTGAACTGGCACCAAAACAAACGTGCGCCTATGGTTTAACTTTGTACGCAAATGATCCGTGAAAGCATCTAACTGAATAGGGAATTATAAATGAGCCCTTTTAATGTTACATCCACAGCAGGCATTGTATTCAGACATACTGCGCCTTACAGCGTCCCAATATCAGAAGATATATCAGAACATGACAGAGACCATAACGTGCGGTATTCTGCTTGCATTATTATCTAGGACTGTTTAGGGGGGTTTAATTATTTTATACAGAAACACAAGTTTGGATGGTTATGAGGAACATTAAAAAAAAATATTATAAAGCCTCATGGCCACCAGTTAGTTTGAGAAACAGCTCTTCATTGAGACCTTTGGATCCTCCTTTAGCTCGCGTAGACATAAAGATGTAGCCTCCTATGTATTCATGGACAACTTTACAAGGAGCAGAGACACAGGTAAAGGCAACATTAATGTTCTCGGTGAACTCAATGGAAACCTGCAACACAGACCATGTAAAACACAAGGTAAACAACTGATAGACAAACTTCTTCTTTGGAAATCATAATAGGGCTAATGTAAACAGCATTGGATTCAAGTATAGTGGAGCTGCCCAGAAGAACCAAAAAAATGAATCCATTACATTATCAGATGTTATCCTATTCTCAACTTGTATGAGAAAATAGGAACTGGAATGTGATTGGTTGTTGCTGGTAACACTGTCCCTTTTCCTCTTCAAGATTATACAGGTAGCGCCATATATTCATCCTAAGTGCAGTTTCCTTTCTGGGCAGTAAGAGGACCTGTATATGTAAGACTCTATTTAGACCTGTGTGTTGCACTACCACATGGTAAAACACACATTTTACCTTAACCCTTGTTAACACATGAAACTGACTTTGGTGCCATTCAGAACCCCAGAGGTGACCGTCTGCATTGTCATGTGCTACATTTAAGCTAATGTTGCAGATCCGTGGTGGTGCACTGATATACGATTCAAAATGAATGATATACCTTACTGCAACATATATCAATATTTGTGCGGCCTACGCACTGCTATGCAGCTGCCATGTCTGCATGGGCCCTAGTGTTAAACTTCCTATCAGAATCTAAAAACAAGATCTCAGCGCCTTAGGCACCTTCAGGTGCCTATATTTCCGTTACCGGCTGTTTTTACAATAATCTAGGGCTGCAACAACTAATCAACATAATCGATTATAATCGATTATTGAAAAAGTACCAATACCTCTAGGTATGGCAAGCATGTGACATGTTACCTTCCTTCCCAGAATGCAAAGCTTTCAGTGTGAGAGGCTAATGGCCAGACCCTAGTTGCTGCAACACTCCAACAGGATGGGTGCATGCGACTTTCGTTGACCTTGCAGGCACAAGGGTGGTGGCAATTTGACATGTGTACTTTAGGCTGGATATTACTGAAGTGGACCTCAGCCAAAATGTTGTTTTTAGTTTTGGGTAGTGTTGTGGGTATTGATACGGTCCATGGGTAAGATCATGTCTCCTTACTTTACTGTCACCAGGACAGGAAAGGAAATATTTGCATCAGGGACAAAACAGCAATGTTGACAGAGATGGAGAAGGCTAGAATTAACATCATCTTTTTACCACTGTTTGTATCTCTTTTGGAAAATTCCCTTTTCTTCTTGTACCAACAACAGTGTTGGCACCAGGACAGGAAGTACAGGGTAATCCCCCTAATTGGTATACAGTCAGCAATAAAACCACATCAGGACATAACCCTTCTGAGTTACACATAATCGGTTAATTGGAATTGCACATTTAATGTGACTTCCTCACCTGTCTGATGTCCCAGTTAACATTCCACTGCTTCATATTATTGTACATCCAGGTTTTCACCACATCTCCAACATTCAGGTCAATTCTAATTAAACGGTTACTGGCAATACCCAGGATCTCATCCCGACGAGCACCTTTAAACCTGTGGAGTAGTATATGTAAAATATACTTTTGCAACAGAATATTTTGAAGGGTATGTCCGTTTCTTCTTCTTCAGATGTGGATACCTTTTACTAGTAATGCAGAGTTGTTCTCTAATCTCTCTACTAAGCAAGATCAGGATCCTAGTCATAGATTACAGATGTACAGGTGAAACTCGAATAATTAGAATATTGTGCAAAGTTCATTTATTTCACTAATGCAACTTAAAAGGTGAAACTAATATATGAGATAGACTCATTACATGCAAAGCAAGATAATTCAAGCCGTGATTTGTCATAATTGTAATGATTATGGCTTACAGCTCATGAAAACCCCAAGAACCCCAAATCCACAACCTCAAAAAAGTAGATTATTACATGCAATCAATAAAACAAGGATTGTACATAGAACAATATCGGACCTCTGAAAAGTACAAGCATGCATATGTACTCAGTACTTGGTTTGGGCCCCTTTTGCAGCACTTACTGCAATTACTTTTGCACGATATTCTAATTATTCGAGTTTCACCTGTATATATTGATTTGCATGTCGTTTTTTGTGCACATCTACAATATATATCTTCATTCTAAATACATGGTTGCTGGCAATAGCCAATATATCAGACTAATGTCAGCACCAATGCAGAGAAGATTTGAGGATCAGCTGAGTGATAAGAAATAAAATACATTTTTGTTAATAGGGTACTTCAATGCATTTTTAAGATTTACTTCTGAGTTTAGTGTTAGTTTAAAGAGGACCTGACCTGTGCCCAAAACAGACGAGCAAAGGGCAAAGACTAATCACCAGGATTGAGAGTACACTCCCTAAAGCTAATATTTCCACCATTGCTGTCTTACCATGCCTTGTTCCACACTGTGTTTCTTTGAATAGGTAACTACCTTGGTAGAGGAACAGGGCTTTGCCAGACTCGCTCCTCCATGCAGCACATGTTGCCACAACACACATGTGAATGGGCCGTTAACTATGTAATTTGCAACATGTTTTTTTTAACTACTTTACCTATTTTTCCTTAAATGTATTTATGAAAATAAACTTTATACACTTTTATTCCTAAAAGAAAACTTTACTTTTAATGTTACAAAAAAAGTCTAAAGTTCAGATAGATTTCTTACAGACTATAAATGGTATTTATTAATATATACTCGAGTATAAGCCGTCCCGAATATAAGCCGAGGGGGGCACTTTTCAGCCAAAAAAATGGGCTGAAAATCTCGGCTTATACTCGAGTATATACGGTAAATCAATGTAACTCTGTAAAAAAATGGAGCCTGATAGCTGTACAGTGCACACATTTTGACTCTTCATTTGATCTCTATTCGGCAGATGTTAGTGGAAAGATAATATAAAGATAGGTTTGAGGTAGCTACATTAGCAATAGTTTAAAAACTTCTACTGTGTTTTAATAAACTGAAGTCTATTTTACTACCAAAAAATAAATAAAATTGTTAGAAATAAAACATGGAGTGTAACATAAAGAAAATATCACTAACCTTACAACAAAATATGATATTCCAAAATCTGGTACGGATTGCCAGTCCTGAATAAAACGTAGCTTAGCCTCTACTAGAGAAATCTGTGCTATATTCTGATATGCCTCCAGGATACGAGGGGATAACTGGGGAAAGAAATAGAAGATTGTTGTATGTAGACTGACACTTCACATTTTCTTTTTTTTTTTGAAAAGTACTATTTATTAGGTTTTCAATATGCATATTAAGTTACAAACATCACCCACCGAAGTGGGGGCACAGTCTTAAAAACACCATCATTATACAAAACATCCCACCCCAAACCCCCTAACCCCCTATAAACCAGCCCGCTCAAGGCTGCGCATGACCCGACTGATGCTGCCTCCGTCACTACTGCCGCATCACTATCATCCGCGGTTAGCCAGCGATGAACCACCACCATCTGCCCAGCTAGATAGTATTTTTTAAGGTTGGGTAGCGCCAAACCCCCTTGGGCCCAGGGCTCCTGGAGGAGACTGAGCTTAACCCGCGGGTTCTTGTTATTCCACACAAATGTGGAGAACAGTTGATGCATTTTTAAAAAAAAGGCATTGGGTATATGCATAGGAGAGGTATAACAAGACCGGGAGTATCTTCATTTTGATGAGATTAGTGCGTCCAATTAGGGCCAATGGCAAATGCATCCAAGCATCTAACCTTCGCTTAGTGGTAAGGAGTAATGGAAGGACATTCAGGGAATAATAGTCTCCGACATGGGCAGTTATGGTGACCCCCAGGTAGGTAAGCCTGTCAACCCACTGTAGAGGGAGGGTCTGATCCGCCTGTAACCTTGTCCGGGGGCCTAATGGCAGAATATGGGATTTTGACCAGTTCACCCGCAGTCCCGAGAACACAGCAAAATTCTCAAGTATCTCCAACACCACACGTAAGGAGGGTCCGGCATCCGAGAGGAACAGGACGAGGTCATCAGCATATAATGCTAGACGTTGACACTTCACATTTTCTCTTGACACAAAACTGCAAACACAATACAAAGTACACTAATTCAGACTGAGCTCCATGTATTATTTTTTCCTTACCTGCTTAAGTTTGAGCTTCTTCTGATAACGTGGTGACACCAAGGCAAGCATGTTGATGGATTCAGCTGCAGTGTTTTCATTAGATTTTTGGAGATCTAAGAAGGAAAGAATGCTTTGTACTTCTGCATCATAAGAGGGGTCACCCATAGTGCGTCCTTTAGCTGCCAGGCGGCATCCAGCCATCCATTGGGCATATTGCTGCTCCTAAAACAGGTTACAAAATAGTAGGATATAGATTGTGGCACATGCAATATACAGTATGATTTACTGTCTTTTATAAGTAGAGATGAGTGGAGTGATTTCAGTGAAAGCATAAACTTTTACAGCGGACACCCCTCCTCCTCCTTTATATGAAACCACCAGCATTCATAAAATTAGTATTGTAAAATAAATACATATAATTATTATTTGTCTCATCTCTTTAATCTCCCAATATGCTTATCTATCCACCCCCTCATGGAAACCCATGCTGCCATATTAAAGGTACATGTCATCAATGGCAGGCTTTTATTCCCCTGTTTTCTGTGTTGGCTAACCAATGACATCAACACCAGATCTCACCATGCGCTGTATGTGATCTTGTGTGATTGGTTATTGTTTACACAGTGCCATGGTTTAAGCAACATGCAGGGCCAGATTTACCATTATGCAGAGAAGGCAGGAGCTCTCCATAGGGGGGCGCCGTGCAGGTACCTGCTCTGCCTAATTCCTGGTGTTGTGTCAAGATACAACACTGGCAATAGGAAGAAGGGTGCATTCTGCACAAAATGCATCCTCCTGCTCCAAGACCAGCAGCACCAACAGGAACTGTCGACTTCTGAAAACGCAGAGGAAGGACCCCAGTGCTGCCTAAGGCTGCCATGTAAAACATTTACGTGACGCCTGGGTCCTTCTCTGCATATGTGAAAGCCTACAGGACCCGCAGCAGGTAAAGGCGCCGGCTCAGGCTAAACAGATTTCCACTCGTGCCTACAGGTAACTGAAATAGAAATCCAGCCCTGGCAATGTAAGCATCGTTACTCTACCTGACACTCATGTTTCTGAAACCATGGCAACAATAACAAAAAAAGAGCCTTTCCCTCTGCGATCTTGCAAGATTCCATGAAATCCCACAAGATCTTGCAGCTTTTACGCAGGATCTCCCTGGGAGGCACTGGTGGTCTAGCCTTCCCAGGGGCCAACTGGAAGGCAAGGGCCATGTCACCAGTGTTTTTAGATCAGCATGCAGAGCTTTATGGACCTGCTTTTTTAAGTTTGGGGAAAGATCTGCTTTTTACTCATCGAGCTTCTTAGGTGGTATTCTTTTCTTATTTAGAGGGGTCTATTTATTTGTTTCCTGTGTATTTAGTTAAGCCTATTTATTTTAGTGTTCTTTGCATTTGCGTTTTTCCCTTTTAGGTGTATTAATTTCTATTGATACTGTTGCTTTAAATTTTTTATTTAACTTTTTCTGTAGGGGCTGTTTTTTGGACACAAGAACAGGTTCAAAAAGGTTAAAAGGAGATTCCATAACCCACAGGTGCTATTTAAACCCCATTGCAGCCTTAAAATCACCAAAGACCACCTAAATTGTAACCTAAAAAATACAAGTTCCTGCCTAATTGGTTGGTCTGGTCATACTTTTTTGCATAAAGTTCCAGGGTGAACAGTGAGACTTACATTTTCACATCGTAGGTACACTTCATTCATTCCTTCTGGAGAAGGAACCAGGAGTCTAATGCAGAACTTTTGCGAACCAACATTAACTTCTGGAATAACTTCACATCCTGGAGAGGAAAAATGGGCATTGTGTTGCTTTTTAAATAAAATCTAAAAC